GGCAGCCTGAAGGTCCCGCGGCGGCCTTTTACTGGACCTCGCGTCGCCTCAAGACTACCAAAGCATGCCCCAGGTGGCTGGCGAACGTAAGCGGTCGCATGAGGACCATGCACGGGCGCAGCAACAGCAAGCCCCGCAACCCCAGGCATTGCCCGCCGTCGACCAGGGGGGACGCAGGCAAGACCAGGCGCCGACAACCACGTAAGCTGCATGAGACGCGTGAAGGACGAGCACCAGGCGTCCTGCCTTCGTGGGCTGTGGGTTGGCAGGCCGGGCAATGTAAATGCAATGCAAGCAAGCAGCGGGAGCAGCGACTGTCAGCAGTCCTACTGATTGGTTTTCACTACCACGATTGCTAACCTGAATTCAAGTCGAGAGGCACTAGCACCTTCATGTCTGACGTCAAAACCTTGATTTTGCACTCCTGCAGGGACCTCGTCGGCGCCCTGCACGCCCGAGCCGCCCAGGCGTCCACGCTGAAAGAGCAGCAGGAACTGCAGAGGGACGCCAGCGCGCTGGCCTTTCGGTGAGCAGAGAGCCTCGCACGGTTGGGCGGGACGGGCATGATCCCGGTGGCAGGGCCGGCGTTGGAACAGCGGTGCAAACACAGCAAGTTTGCTGGCGGGTTTGACAACCACAGCAGGCAACGCACAGTCAGCATTTTTTCAGGATGCTGTTGCTGTCTCAGCCAGGCTGCCAACAGGCAGGGTGGAGACGTCACCCGCCCGCCCAGACAACGCAGCACAAAGCATATCGGCCCCACGCCTTTGCTCCTCCCCGCTCGCCGATCCACAGGCAGAGCAATGAACGTCGGGAGCACCTGATGGTGTACGACGCATCCGAGGGCGGTCCCTTTGGCGGGCGAGCTGCGCTCCTTGACATGTTGGACGCAGCCAAAGATGTCGCCACAAGCGGCAGGAACGTGATCAAGCTGCAGGTCGGCTGGCGTGATGTCCCCACGGTGAGGAATGCTTGTACAACTGCACGCAGACGTGCGCCTATCTGGTCGGGTTCTCCTCCTGAGTTTTCAATATAGAGGGGGGGTACAGCGAGCCGCATTGATGCATCCGTGCACAATCTAGCACACTGGCCTGCTGGCGATTATGCTGCCAGTCGTGCAGGTGCGTGTGAACTACAACAAAAGGATAAACAGACTGTCTTGTTTACAAACTACACCCACATACGTACCAAATCGTGCGTTTTATTGCTGCTGACAGCTCTGTGCACACACACCCTGCTGGTTATGTGTGTGTCGGCGCCGCACATGCAGATGGTCGACGAGCTGCAGGAAAAGGGCTACGACGCCTACTATTACCACGGTGTCCCCCACGTGGTGTTTATAGAGCTCAGCGAGCACCAGCAGCAGCAGCGATGGCATTTGCGGCAATCGGAGTGGGAGCAGTGGCAGAATCATCCCCGGGGCAAGCGCATCAGGCGCGCACAAGGGGCGGAGGTGTGGCTGCCGCGCCACTTCTGCGACAACGCCGCAGCAGCACCAGACCGGGGGATCAGAAGCCCCAACCAGCACACCATAGACACGCACCGGATGAGTGTCGACGTTGCGCGCAGCAGGGGCCGGCTGTGGATCCAGGCAATGCAGCGCATCGATGCGCATGGCGGCCCGGGCATTTTGTTGCGCGTGATCACAGGCATTGGCAACCACAACGCCGTGCCCGGCACCTCGCGCGGCATGCAGCCGCCGTGCCCGCTCAAGGACGCGATGTTGGAGGTCGTGCGGGACTCGGGCCTGCACTGGGGCTTCGAAGAGGGCAACCTCGGGGCCCTCGTCGTTCTTGTTGGCGTGGCACCGCCGCCGCAGCCGCAGCGGGCAATGCAGCAAGGCGGCCAGCCGCAGCTGCCTCAGCCGCCGCTGCCGCTGCCGCTGCTGCCACCCCCACTGCCTTCGCAGCAGTCATCGCCACCGCTGCCGCCCCCGCCGCCGCAGCGCCACCACGTCTACCACCCACAGCAGCAGCAGCAGCAGCAGCAGCAGCAGCAGCAGCAGCAGCAGCAGCAGCAGCAGCAGCAGCAGCTCGCCACGCGCCCTGCCAGGGCCAGCAGCAGCGGCGGCACGGTGGACAACCGCGCAGCGGCGAGGCCCGGCAGGGTGGACGGCAGCGAGTGGCAGGACCACGAAGACGTCATGGAGGCCATGAAGGCTGCGGCGCGGGCAGCCGACCTGCACGGGCTCGGCCCGTTTAGCACGGCCGGCTACACCAGCGACGACCTGGGCAGTTTGCGCTCGGTCGGACTGCGAACAGCAAAGACTGAACGCTTCACCAGGAAGAAGGACCTGGTGGCCTGGGTCGCGCGTGGCTACGGGGGGCGCATCCGCGTCAAGCTTCTGCATAATGTCGGCGGTGCACTGCAGGAGACAGGCACGGTGTGCTTTCCTCCCAACTGGCAGGGCCCGTGCAAGGAGCTGACGGTGCGCGAGGACAAGCTGCCCCTCACGCTGCACTTCTGTTCGCTGCCAGCGCCACCGGGAGAGGACAATCTGGTGGGCACCGGCCTGTCGGCCACGGACGCGGTCGCCACGTGCTGCTGGTACGTGCTCGTGCGGGTCGTGGGCCGGCAGGTCCTGGGGACCGCAAGGTGCAGGCGGCGCGACCCGACCGACAACCGCGGCGATGCCACCAAGGTAAACTCCGCGTGGCAGAAGTGGCGGCAGGCCTCACCGGCGTGAGCATACTCAGTGCCTTGCACAGTATGCGGGAGCGCAAGCCCCTTAGTGGCCGCCCCTGCTGCTGGGCCTTGAGTCCGCGTAATGGGTTTGTTGGTGCTCCGCATGCGTGCACATTGTGCGCCGCTGCTTGCTGGCTTACGCAAAAGCCGCAGTCACATGATCGGCAGCTGCTTCGCATGTGCCATGCGTGCCCGCGCCCATACGCCCTGGCGGCGCTGCCAGGGCATGATACACCGGCGTATCATGGCTACAGTTGCTTTAAAGCACAGCACAATCCCTCTGTCAGGCCTTGTCCAGTCTCCTGTGAATTGGTCATTCTTTGTAAATATGTGTAAACGTTATCTCTGAATGGCAAATCAATGCGGTGTTGCGTAATGCGCCAGCTTATCATCACATGAGAGTGATCAGCTCTGGGGCAACCACAAGTTGCAATACCCCGCTGGCACACGAAATTTACTGCAGTACCATCTCTCAAGATATCCCGTCTAAATAATTATGTATAGATCAACACGCTCACACATATATACATACACATGTAATGAATATATGTGAAATGAGAGAGAGAGAGAGAGAGGGGTACTAAACGCACAAGCAGCGCCGAGTCAAATTGAGGAGATGTGTGTGTGGGGTGAGCCACACCGGCACCCCACCAAACCTTTGCGCCACACTCCTTTCAAGAGGAGCGGGCGTTGGCGCACCGTTGAGTGGCACGCCGGTTTTGTCAGGCGACTGCATCTGCCCTCCCGCCCTTAGGCAGCTGGGTGCGCGTCTGCGCGCCCTCTGCGCAATTGCGCTTGTGTGAGTGAGGCGAGGGCACGCGCACGCTGTGGGGAGGCGCGCCGGCGTGCGTTGGACGTGCGTGAGCGCCCCTTGCGCAAATAGCTCCTGAGCAAGAGGTTCCAACAGCAGGGCTTCGTCGCCCGTGAAAACGCTGGGCCGACACGCCAGGCATCACCGCACGCAACGCGAGTTTATTTAGTGAGCCATGATTCAAATTGGCCGCAGCTGGCTTTGCCTGCTGCACTTCACCAAGGCATGCACTGCCTGCCGTTTAATCAAGAATCACAAACAATTGTGCAAACATGCAATTTGATTGATTGAATTGTTACCGCGTCTGCAGCCGGAACTAGAAGAATCAATGGCGTGCTGTGCATGGCTCTGCAAGTTTGACAAGATGTATGCTTAGGTCGTCTTGCCTGATGACACAAGGGTTGCAACCAGTCCCCCGGCCAGCCAGCTCACGATCACTTATGCAATCAGATCTTTTGATCAGCATGCAACGTTCCTCTTGTTCCAGTCATATCTAGACACATGCGTTTGCACAAGGCAGACAGCTGCCACGCTGAAAGGGCACTTGCGCTGGCCTCTGGTCGTATAGCACGTTGCTGGGCGCCATCCGGAGCAGACGATTGCTGTAGACCCCGTTTTGTAAGGTTCTAGAGCTTCTAGAGCCTGCAGTTGCAGGGTGTGCAGAGCGTTCACGCTGTAGAGTTGCTTGTGCTTCGCTGCCAGCCCATTTATACTACGTAGCCTGCTTGCACTTTGGTAAAAGTAGCCGCTAGCGCTTGTGACAAGCACGCTGTGTGAAGAGGCTTTGACATCATTTGAAGAGGCTTTGACATCATTTGAAAGTGTACACACAACAAAAATAGCCACGGGCGAGGCACGCGGCCAAGCCTTGGGCCTTATTTCAATCAGGTCGCCAACCTGATCCCCAACCCTTGATCCGGCAGCGCCGGGGGTTGGGCCCCCACGTCCCCAACCCGCCGCAGCCGGTTGGGTGCACCAGAGGTGGATTTCCCGTGTTCTGCGGCACACGGAGAGAAAGCCACGCCACCAGCTCCACCAGGGCTCGAACCACAGACGCCTTGATACGTACTTGACGGCTGAAACCTCTCCGCCACGGTTCTACCCGCCACGATGAGCCACCTGCGATGAATGGAACCGCTCTTCAAAAATACATATACCCAGACATGCTGCTTTTCCGATTGCAGCAACGGACTGTGCGCGCAAGTTACTTCGAGCCCTCTTTCAAAGTTTGTCACGGTGTCCAGGTTGTTGTGGAGTACGGCAGCACCCGAACCCGAATAAAGTAAATTTCGTACATGTCCGTTGGCGTTTCGCAGCAAGCCGGGCAAGGCTAGTTGTGCTGCACCACCATGGCCTGTGCGGCGGGGACCCTGTCATGGCGGCGGGTTTGCAGGGCTGGCGAACTACATTCTTGGATTGCACTCAGCAATTGAGAGGGGCGTAGTGACCCATTCACGTATATAACGCTTGCTCGGCCCTTCTCCGTAGCCTGCTGCTCACCACGGCCAGCGCCCCGGGCGCGACGGTGGGATGGCGACAGGTAGGGTGAGTGCAAGGCGCGACAGCAGCACAAAGATCATAAGGCAGAGCAGCAGGGCGAAGATCAAGTAATGGAAGTTATGGAATTTGATATCCCCCCGCACAACGGCGGGGGCGGGGCGGGGACATGGCACCAAGGGGGTACGCCCTCATTTCCCGCAGCTCCAGGAGGAGTGCTGAGCGGCGCCGGGCGACATGGCGTTGCGGGACTCGCTGGTGCTGCGGCGAGTGAGCTTCCGGGAGCGCGGGGCAACAGTGCGGCTCGTGTCGCCAAGTTTGGTGCGTGTGAGTGCTCTCATCGCTGGCGGGCCTGCTGCGTGGTGGCTCGGGTGTGGAGCCAGCCTGCCGTGCTGCGGGCTTGATCTGGTCTGAGTGCCTGCAGCTGCTGTGTTTGGGGTTTCTTTGTGCACCTTGATGCACACTGCTGACATGGGTACATTGCTTACTGAGCCAGCATTGGAGCTGATCGTAAAGCCCCGTACATAACGACTCAAAGGCGGCGCCCTGGTGCACACGGTCACGCTGTACCTCGTGAGCGACTGCTACCTCGGACTGGGCCAGCAGCACCGGATCGTCGTCGACGCGGCCGAGGCGCAGGCGGCGGCGGCGCGGGCCGCGGCGCGGGCCGCGGGCGACGGCGGCTGGGCGGCGGCCGCGGCTGCGGCGGCGGCCGGGCGGCGCCGGCGGCGGGGATGGGGAGGGGACCTTGTTGAGGAGCATGAGGATGAGGACGAGCCTGAGGCTTTTGACGACCCGTGGGCTCATTTGGATGGCGGCAGGGGTGGCACGGCGAGCGGGGCCGACAGGGGCGTGTGGGAGGATGAGTCCGCCCATTGAGCCATTCCCGAGCACGGCGTTGCAACCCTGTCTGTGCGCTGTGCTGAAGGCGCTTGTAAGCGACAAGCCCCTAGCCCTGTCGTCAGGGTTAATTGTGGAGCCTGAATTGCGGCTTGCAAGGCGCGGCAGCTGCGCTCATCGACGTGACATTTCCTGAAAACGACGGGGGGAGGGGACGGGGGCCACAAATACTTGAGGCGCATAAGACACAGGCGTGAGGCACAACCTGGCAGTGTTGAGCTCCATTACTCATAGTGCTAGGTGAGAGCGACGACCACATCACGGCGATAGAAGGCAAGGCATCCTGCATCCAGTTGTTGCTTTTCCTGCGGCTGCATGCACGTTGGGAACCCCGGTTGGCCTGGAGCTGCGCAGGCCACACACGCCTACGTCTGCATAGCATCCACTCCATCAAAGCAGAAAAGAGCCTTGAACAATAGCAAGGAGCATGCCTAGTGCAACGCTCAGGCACCCGTACAGCAAGAAACTCGAGCACAAGCGCGGCTTGGGGACAGCAAGCGCCGCCCCGCGCAGTCCGCCTCACGCCGCGCCGCCCTCTCCCGCTGCGGCCAGTATCCTGTCCAGCGCCGCCTGGTCCAGCAGCTGCCCCGCCTCCACCGCGCGCTCCGCCCCTGCAGCCACCACCTCGTCCACCAGCTGGGCCACGCCCTCCGCGCCGCCGCCGCCGCCGCCGCCGCCGCCCACGAGGCGCAGCAGGCGGGGGCGGAGGTAGGCGGCGTCAAGCTGCAGCTGCTGCAGGCTTGCGCGGCCGAGGGTCTGCAGGCGCACGCTCTCGGCCAGGGACTTGAGGCCGGAGGCGGCGATCGCCCCCAGGAGGGCGGCCTGGCGCAAACAAGGGCACGAGCAAACCCGGCGAGTTGGCGTTCCATTGAAGCAGTCTCGCCCCGCAAAACCATGCTTCCATCCGTCCTCACGTACAAACGATTCCAACTGTTGTCAAATGTCAAAGCAGAGGAGCACGCAGGCGTCTGAGCTGTTTTCCGCAATCCGCCCACACAGCCCCAGGAGGTGTCGAGAAAAGCGCGCATCTCCCGGCCGGCCGCCCCACCTGCGTGAACTTCACGGTCCCCGTGATCTTGGTGCGCGCCCTGAAGAGTCGCGCCACGCCCCTCTCCACCGCCACGCTGCCCAGGGCGTAGCCGGGGTCGCGGTCCGACACGCTGCTGCCGCCGCCACGGTGGTGGTGGGCGGCGCCATCCTTACGCAGGGCGTCCGCATGGCCTGGGCAGGTGGCCGGCGTTTCCAGGGTTGAGGGCTTGACGGTTTAGGGACAGGCCAGGGCCGTCGCAGACATCCAGACGCAAGGGGGTGCGTCTTTTTGGACCTTAACATCACAAGCTGCATGTTTGTGGCAGCCGTGGGCTATGCAGCGCGTGCGCCGAGACTCGTTGAGAGGGAAGGCAAGACTCGGGCTGGGCACAGGGGGATGCGGCAGGGGCGCAAGCTCGCACCTTGCGCGCGGCCGCCGCTGGCCTCCACGAGCCGCTCTACCTCGGCCTCCGCGCGGCCCAGCCGCTCCAGCAGCAGGTCACACACTGGGCGCGGCGCCCTTCGGGGCGGCAAGATCGTGACACGCGCGGGGTGGCGGGTGTGTGGGGGGGGGTGGGGTACGATTG